CCCATCGACGATCAGCAGCGTCATCACGGAGAAGAGGACGGCTTCCGCATCCCAGTAGTGTGGATGCGTTAAAGTCCATCCCAAACGATACCTGCAGTGCAGACCCTGATTGTCAGTCAGTCGCCTGCCGGCCCACCCAACAAACGAGATCAACCGGGTATCGCCCAACTCCGGTTGTTTCACGGTCGCAGTCCAAACTTGGAAAGCTCTACTTCTTGCTTCAGCACGCATTCCCGTCGAGATCGAACTACTCTCCCCATGTATCTGCTCGCTGCAAGCTAAACAGTTCCAAATGTGATGTCGATACGTGCAACAGCTGGGCACGTATACTTGCGAAGACCTTCCCAACGAAACCGTACAAACATGTCAGACGCAGCATTTCAGCTTGCCCGTTGTAGCACAGCAGTGTTTGAAACTCCATAAGGATCAGGGAGCAGATGCCAGTGATACGATGCAGATATTGGTGCTGGAACGCAACATCTCTCGAACGGTAAAGGAAACACCGAGCGTCTCAGAATGGCTTCTCAATGCTATCACAAAACCACAGAACACACCTGCAACATCAGATAGTGACCTACATACTGTAGGAATGAAGAGATCTTCGTTTGCAGAGCCAGGAAGCATGGTGGCTGCGCCGCCTTGGAGTGGGGAACCGTGGAGATGCGGCAGGGTGCAGATGCGCTTCAGTTTCCTGAGCTGCACGGGCAGGGCTGCCGACACAGAACACGCACATCTATGTATGTAGGTTTGCATGTATACAGGTACGTACGAACGTACGTACGTACGCAGGTACGTCCGTATGTATAAGATAGGGCTCCGGTCCCCGGGGTTTCCCAAGAACCCACCCCTTGTGGCATCTGGAGCAGCAGGCCTAAACTCACGCGGGAGGGGCTATGAATATAACCATGAATATCACTACAAATACAAATATGTACATGTGAATCTATATATATATATATGTATATAAATATATATGCATGCATACATACATATCTATGTCTATGTACATATATGTATACATGTTCATACATACATATATACATATACACATATATATATACACATACATGCATGCATGCATGCATAGACAAACATACAATACATACACACATACACACATACATACATACATACATACATACATACATACATACATACATACATACTTACTTACACACATACATACATACATACATACATACATACAT